GAAAACAAAAATTGAATTTCTAATGAACCTCTGTTATATACCCACAGTTTTACTTAACAGTATGTATTTCTGTAGCAGAGATAGCATTGTACTGAATTAATGTTTTCTTAGCTTGTACAAGAAAATAAGACTTGTATTTCTTGAGTCTGGAAAACAATTTTAAAATGACTTTGCAGGACAGATTTCTGTGGACCAGTGATCAAAAGATCTTGTTTTCTCTCAAGCAGAACTGCCTCTGGGCCATAGTAAGAATTAAAATGAGAAGTTCAATACTTGGTACATAGTAATGTCTTAATTTTGTTATTATAGTGGTTATTTTTGTATTTAGGAGTGAACCTTAGAGCCTAGCCCTGAAAAATAATAAGATGAATTTGTGATTCTCTTAAGCAGGTGGCTGTCAACTTTAGGTACATACTAAAACTACCTGAGGAACTTTTTCTTTTAAAAAACAACTTTAGACTGGGAATGTGGTGTAGTGGTAGAGTGCTTGCCTAGCATGCATGAGGCCCTGCGTTTGATTCCTCAGTACCACATAAACAGAAAAAGCCAGAAGTGGTGGTGTGGCTCAAATGGGAGAGTGCTAGCCTTGAGGACAGAGAGGCTCAGGGACAGAGTCCAGGCCCTCCCTGAGTTCAAGCCCCAGAACTGGCAAGAAAGGAAGAGAGAGAGAGGAGAGAGACAGAGAGGGAGAGACAGAGAGGGAGGGACAGAGAGGGAGGGACAGAGAGGGAGGGACAGAGAGGGAGGGACAGAGAGGGAGGGACAGAGGGAGGGACAGAGAGAGAGGGGGAAAGAGAGGGGGGACAGAGAGAACAACTTTATTTTCAATTTATTTTTTATTTTATGGAACTTTAGTTTTAATATACATTTCTTTAAAGATGTATTTTTCAATGCTTTTCCAATGCCATCTTGGTTGGTTATAGAAACTTTCTACCTTTTTCCTCTGTTAAACTATTTTATTGTTATTATGAAGGTGATGCATGAAGAGTTACAGAAGTCAGGTAATAGGTACAATTCTTTGTGAACAATGTTTCCCCTTCTCTCACTCTCTCTTAGTTTTTCCTTCTTGTCCCCACCTACAAGTTGTATAGTTTATTTTTCAACATAGTAACTACTGAGCTGAGGAACTTTTTCAAACTCTCATGATTGAGATCATTTACATCAGAATCTCTAGGGGTTGACTCAGGCATCAGTATCTTTATTTATATTTTTAACTGACACATGATAATTGTACACATTTATGAGGGTACAGTGTGGTCCACAATGCATAATGTTCAAATCATGGTAATGAGCATTTTGTTAGTAAATTCCTCAGTTTATTTCAATCTTCAGCTAAACACATCAGGATTAATTTAATGGATATCAGTAATGGTTACACATTAGAATCACCTTAAATAATCCCAGGGCCCCACTCCAGACAAATAGATCATTAGGTGGGCTTCCAAGTATCCATTATGTTACTTTGTCCTTAAAGTTTCCCTCATAGAGAGCATGTTCCTCTCTCTCTCTCTCTCTCTCTCTCTCTCTGTGTTTATGTCAGTGTGTCAGTATGGGGCTGGAACCTAGGGTCTGGGCACTGTTCCAGAGCTTTTTTGCTCAAGGTTGTCACTCTACCACTTGAACCACTTCCAGATTTTTGCTGGTTAATTGGAGATAAGATTTTCATAGTCTTTCCTACCTATTAGCACCCAAATCTATTATTTTCTCTTTTTTGGAGCAATATTTATTTTCTCATAGTTCTGGAGTTACCCCCAAATTCCAAAAGAATCTGAGACAAGATGAATTAGCTGATACAAAAGGAAGCTAAAAGGGGGTGGGGGCATAGTTCAAGTGGTAGAACACTTCCATAGCAAATACACAGCCCTGAGTTCAAACTCAAGTGTTGCCAAAAATAAAGCAAGCTTAAAGGTTGGCTGAAATATTAATAACATAGATAGAAGTATATTTACAAATGCAGGAGAGGGAAAGTGGGGCAGAGTAAAAAGTCTAGTGAGGAATTTGAAGATTTCAGGCATCAAGCCTTGGAATAGACCTAGAACAATGTTTGCCTTCTCAGGCCTGATCTGAGAATTCTGTTGACACAGACTTGGTTGTTAGCAGTCTTTCATTTCCTCTGTCAAATGAATCACCTAGACAGTTGCTATCTACAATTTGACTGGAGCATTCATCTCTTTCTGGCTGAGAATACCAAACCAGAGATTTTTTTAAAGAAAGAAATGGTTGCCCTTTCTAGAAGAATTTTTAAAACCATTGCTTGAATTCAGGACTTTGTGCTCACTCAGCTTGCTTGCTCAGGGCTGGTGTCCTACCTGAGCCATGCCTCCAGTGTAGCATTTTGCTGGTTAATTGGAGGTGGAATAGCATAGACTTCCTATCAGGACTAGCCTTGAATTATAAGTTTCAGCCTTCTGACTACCTAGGATTACATTTGTGAGTTACTAGTACCCAGCTTTCCAGCAGCTCTTGTAAAAAGCTAAGTAATACTAATTTTTAAAAACTTAAGTTTGGATCTAAAAATTGGCTTTTACTTCAATGGCATAAAGTCTAGGTTCTGGGGAAAGATGATGTTTAAAGGAAAAGTCTCTCATGTTCTCTTTCTTTGTCCTTCAACCTAGTGAAACTTGTTTCTCCTCTTAGCATCTATAGCCAGAAGAGAAATATAGTTCCCCTGAGAATGCTGCTTGAAGGATTTCACAACTTCAATATTAGTTTAAAAAAATTTGCTAACAACTTTCACAGCACCAACTTTTGAAGAGGCCGAGGCTTCTCAGAAAATAGAGTCTATTCTTTCTTATAATCATGATCAAATATTATTCTGTGTTACCTTATGTGTAAGCCCTAAAGGTCAGTGGGTGTCAGCTGTTCAACTTTTGTTCCTCCCCAAAGGCTACCTTTTTTTTTGTGGTCGGTCATGGAGCTTGAACTCTGTCCCTCAGCTCTTCAGCTCAAGACTAGTGCTCTATCACTTGAGCCACAGCACCACTTCTGGTTTTCTGATGTTTAATTGGGGATAGGAGTCTCACAGACTTTCCTGCCTGGGCTGGCTTTGAACTGTGATCCTCAGATCTCAGCCTCCTGAGTAGCTAGGATTACAGGCGTAAGCCATGGGTACCTAGCAAGGCTACTTTTTTTGATGCTGGTTCTTGGGCTTGAACTCAGGGCCTGAGTGCTGTCCTAGAGCTTTTTCACTGAAGACTGGTACTCTACAACTTGAGCGACAGCTCTACTTTTTCTGGTTTTTGGAGATAAGAATCCGACAGACTTTCCTGTCCAGGCTGTCTTCAAACCATGATCCTCAGATCTCAGACTCCTGGATAGCTAGGATTTCAGGCCTGAGCCACCAGCACTTGGCCTCTGTTTAATGGTATTAATCTCTTTGACAACTGCATTCTCCTTGGTAGCACCTTTGAATGTGCCTCTTTTTTGTCCAAACTGCAAGTTTTATGATGCTTCTCATTCTACTCTTTTTTTTTACATTTGTTTCTCACCATTTTGCCTAAACCAGGAAGTAATACCTATGCCACTGTCATAATACTTGGCTGCCTTGAAATTTCCTTTGCCAGATAAACCAGCCTGACACCTTTAAACACAACTTTACACAGTCTTAGGATATGAAGCAAACATAGTCAAATTTTGCAGTGTAACACAGGTGATCTTTAGTCTAGTTCCAAGTAGCAGCCTTATTTTCATCTGAAACCTCACAGCATATCCTTTACTGTCTACATTATTCTCAGCATCCCGGTCTGAGTTGCCACGAGGCCTGTCCATTAAACTTCATGTATGGAATTTTAGATTCTTTAGCCTACTTCTTCAGTCATCCTTAAAACCATTCCCAAAATCTTATGAACTCTACTGTTGTCAAGTATAGCTACAGCTATGACCCCACTTTTTCGTACTAGTTTTCTGAGTTAGTCAGCTTTCCATTACTGTGAAAAAAACAGATAATCAACTTATCTGCCCAAATTTTCAGTTCCTAAGAGTGTTAAAATAGACAACTGTACTCATTCTTTTCCTCTCTGCAATTCACTAATTGCTAGATAAATTTTGGAAATATACTGCATGATACATACATGTTTATGATGGGTATATCTTCTGCTGTTCTTTGTCACATAAATTCTGTTCCATCAAATGTTGTGATTTCTACCCCAGCTCTGTTTCCTCATATTTGCCTGGCATATCATTTTTCCATTCTATTATTTTCAACTTCTTTGTGTTTTCATTTTTAAACATAACAATTCTAGCCCAAATACTGTCAACTATTTTGTTTTAATCCAGTATGCAAGCCTTTTAATTGATAAGTTTAATTCATGTACATTCATTAAATTACTACTTATTGGGACTTATTTCTGCTATCTCATTTTATATTCTCCATTTACAATACTTTTCCTTTCTCTTTTTCATTCCTATTTTAATGTATTCTTGCCCAGCAACTTTTAAGATCTATCCTGTTATTTACACTTCTTTATTTTTTTATGCACTGAATAGTGATACCTTCTGTCTAGCAAGATTAAGTAACTATCAGTAGAGTCTTAGACTCTATTTTCTACGTACATCCATACCAGTAAACATTGTCTAGAATTTTGATTTTTCCTAGATTACATATGACCCTCTTTCATGGTTTTTCCAGTGCTCATTTAGGTCAAGAAAATGCAGCTTACCCGGGCGCTGGTGGCTCACGCCTGTAATCCTAGCAACTCAGGAGGCTGAGAGCTGAGGATCGTGGTTCAAAGCCAGCCTGGCAAGAAGGTCTGTGAGCTTCTCTTCAATAAACCACCAGAAAACTGGGAGTGGTGCTGTGGCTTAAGCGGTAGAGCACTAGCCTCGAGCTGAAGAGCTGAGGGACAGTGCCCAGGCCCAGAGTTCAAGCCCCACTACTGACAAAAAACAAAAAAGAAAAGAAAATACAGGTTATACTAGTTTGCCTATTTGGAAGGAAGTAGCGTATGTCCCAATTTAATCACAGATGGTGAGCCTATAATGATATTTTTTGTTCTCAACAGGTAGAGAACGTGAAATTACTGGATCGTTATGAGGGCAAGAAACCAATTAATGGAATTCTTTACCTTACTGCAACCCACCTGATCTATGTGGAAGAGGGTTCTTGTGCTGCATTCCGGAAAGAAACCTGGGTATGTTTGTGAGAAGAAATATCAAAGAGCTGTGTATATATGCCTTCTATATGGCAGTTTCTTAAAATTTAAGTAGCATTACTAAATTGCTATAAAACCTTTTCTTCAAATTGCTTATTCAAAGAGTCCTTTGGTGGTCTGAATCTCAGGACTCCTCTTTCCTCAAGTAGTCATTCTAGACCAACATAGGGATAGTCCTAAGGTTTAACTCAAACATTTTTAGGTAGTCTTTTTAAAAAAAAATTTGTTCAGTGCTGTGGAGCAGACCCAAAGTATTCAGTGTGCTAATCAAATGCTCTTTTACTGAGTTACTCCTCAGCCCTTACTTTTTTTGAGACAGGATATTGCTATGTAGCTAGCCTGGCCTAAAATTAATGTTCCTCCTACCACTACCTCCTTAGTGCTTAGATATCAAGCATGTTATATCACAGCTGGCTTATTTTCATTTTCTGAACCCAGCAAGTGGGTAAACATTCTGTGGCCCCAAAACCAGCAGCTTTAATAATACCTGGAACTTGTTAAAATACAAACTTTTAAGCCTAAGGTTTTGAATTGCCTTAAAATTATTTTGAAGTACTGAGATTGAATTTAGAGGTATACTCTCAGCTCCTTGTTTGTCTGGGGTTTTTTGATAGATATTCAATAATTTTGTTCTTTGATCTTCTCCTCCTTCAGCCTTCTGAAGTAGCTGGGATTACAGACATGCGCCACGAGACAAGACTAACTACAATTTTGATTTTTTTTTTGCTATTTGTTTATATTTTCTTTAAGTACAAGGGAACTGACATTTTTAAAGATTATCATTTAACAGTTTATGAATACAATTTTGAATTTCTAAAAACCACTTAATGATGTTCATTCTAGGCCACTGGAATATACCTTGGGCAACATTGATGTAAACTGTCTATATATGCAGGATCTTAACTGCATGCATGTGACAATTTTTATTTTTAATATTTTTTGAGTTAACATACACTAACAGTATGAGGGGAGTTCACTGTGATAATTCCATACATGCAAACATGCTCTCCCCCTCCATTTTACTTCCTCTGCTCTCCTATTCCTCCCAACTTTTTCCAAACAGCTTTTAGTGGGTTTTATTATACTGTCTTCATATATATATGAAACCCACCAAAAACTGTTTGAAAAATGCTATCATAGTGTTTGTGTGTGTGTGTACATGTGTATGTGCACTTGGATACTTTACCTCCTCAGTATCCTTTTTTTTCTCTCTTAACTGGTCCCTCCTGAAAGTCCCCCCTTTACATTAATTTACCATTATTATCACCACCATTGTAGATTTAAGCTCAACGAATGAGTGAAAACATGTTGCTTGTGACTTTTTGAGCTTGGCTTGTTTGGCTCAACATTATGATACTCTACTCCCATTCACTTTCCCAAAAGTGGCAAGAGTTTCATTTTTCTTCATGGCCCAGTAGTATTCCATGGCATATAGATACCATATTTTCTTTATTCATAAGTTGTTGGGTACCACAGCTGATTCCACAGTTTTTCTATTGTGAACAGCACTGAAATAAATATGTGTACATAGATGTCATTTGTGTATTGATTTTCACTTCTTTAGATATAGGCCCAAGAGTGGTATAATAGGATTATAAGGAAGGTATATTTATAGTTTTGTGGGGGAACTTCCATACTGATTTTCATTGTGGTTGTACTAGTTTACATTCCCACCAATAATGTATGAGTTATTTTTCCTTGCATTCTCTCCAGTATTCTATCTTCCTTACACTGAAGTAGTATTATAATTCAATCTTAATTATTAGATTTATATTTAGACCTTTTCATTTATAACAAGTGTCACATGATCTATACACAGGACATAGTCTTAGTGATTAAAATTCCATACTTTAAAATGTACTCATTACCTGACTTTCATAACTATAACCTCTCTGTATATCACCTTTAGAATAAAATATAAATGAAAAAAGATCCCAGACTTTAGAATCAGTAATGGTCAGGTTGAAATCCCAACTTTAACAGTATTACTTTTGTAACCTTGGGCAAGTTATTTAACTTCTCTGGATTTGTTCCCCTTACTTGTAAAGTAGTGATAATAATATGGAAAAATTATAATGTTAATGTTTGTAAGTGCTTAAAACAATGCTTGGACCAAGTCTAGTGGTTCATGTCTGTACTCTGGAGGCTGATTTTAAGTTTGAGGCTTCCTTGAGCTACATAGTGAGGAAGGCCAGCTTGGGGTACATGAAAAGATTAAAAAAAAAAAAAGCAACGGTAGCTGGTGTGGTGGTACATGCCTGTAATCCTAGCCCTCTGGAGTCTATGATATAGGAGGACTTTGAATTCTAAGATACCATATCCCAGAGTATAAACAAAAAAATGTTTGGGATATATTATATAAGCATAATTAATTGAACTTACATAGGCTAGAAATATCTTTTTTTGGGGGGGGGTCCGGTCATGGGGCCTGAACTCTGGGCCTGGGCGCTGTCCCTCAGCTCTTCAGCTCAAGGCTAGCACTCTACCACTTGAGCCATAGCACCACTTGCGGCTTTTTTTCTTTTTGCTTATGTGGTGCTGAGGAATCAAACCCAGGGCCTCAGGCATGCAAGGCAAGCACGCTACCACTGAGCTATCTTCCCAGCCCCACTAGAAATATCTTAGTACTTAAATTCAGTAGGCATTCTCTTTTTTTGGTCTTGTTTTGTTTTGTTTGGTCATGGGGCTTGAACTCTGGGCCTGGGTGCTGTCCCTCAGCTCTTCAGCTCAAGGTGAGTGCTCTACCACTTGAGCCACAGCACCACTTCTCAGTAGACATTCTCTATATGAGATTGTATCTTACTCTCTTTGCTGTCATGGGAAGAATGCTAGAAGAGGAATTTAGGGAGCCAGTACTAGCTTTGTCTTATGCTATCTAGCTGTATGGCCTTGCACAAGTGATTTTCCCCCTCTAAGCTTTTTTCTGAATCTTTAGATGAGGTAGTTAGATTATATAATTAATAAGTACTCTTCCAATTCTAACAGTTTTAAGAAGCAGTTCTTTAGTAACATCTACATGTTCTCATGTTTGTTCCTATCAGGTATTTTTCAAACCCAGTAGACTGAATCTGGAAAGGAAAACAAATTAGTTAGGCATGGCAAAGGATAATTATTTACCCAATTTACTATAATTAATGAAGTTTATTCCCCACTTTGAATGTCTTCCCTTTCCCTCTTCCCAATTTTACTGTTTGCCAGACTTCTGATCTTAATAGTATTTTACTAGCCCAACATACATCTCCCGTATTGACTAGTAGGGCTTTGATTTTCCTAAGATTTTATTTATTAGTTTCTATTACCATTACCAAGAGGGTTTTTAAAATAGTATCTCCAAAACTGCCACAACAGAAAATTAAATTTGACAGAACGAAGATAGGAAAGTCCTTTATTGAAACATGTACATGATTTCTACATCTCCCCTATTCTTGTGGATATGATTGAAAGATTTCATGGAAGAGATGACTTTTCCAAATAAATTTGGGACTGAGACTTGATAGGATGAGAAGAAGAAAAGCAATGTTGATCAGAAGGTCATTTCAGGGAGTCCTGACAATAGAAAGAACATATCTGGGATGTAGTTGCAGGAAACATTAGAGACATGGATAGTAGGATAACTTGGAAAGCCAAAGCATGAAACCATGACTGTTTGGCTGTTTTATATTATTTTCATATTTTATATTATTATTTAGACACATTTTTACCTGTTTTCTTTGTGATCATTTCTCTCTTTCCCTCCTTCTCTCCCTCCCTTCCTCCTTTCCAAATTCCTTCCTTTCTTAGCATCAGTATAAGCAGGAATAATTATCCTATATTTTTTGTTTTGCTATCAGTAATCTTAATTCCAGCTCTAGAGATTTAGACAGAAAGAACCCTGACAGAAAGAACCCTGTACCTATTGTTACCCTGCATGGTTCAAATTCTATTCATGCTGCTGCTTGATTCTGTAAGGAATTCACTTCTCAGAGCTTTAAGCTAATAGTCATGGACACACTATTGATTATTAATCATTTTTATGCCAGTCCTGGGGCATGAACTTGGGGCCTGGGCACTGTCTCGAGCTTCTTTTGTTCAAGGCTAGCACTCTACCACTTGAGCCACAGTGCCACTTCAGGCTTTTTCTGTTTACGTGGTACTGAGGAAACAAAACCACAGCTTCATGCATGTAGGCAAGTACTCTACCACTAAGCCACATTCCCAGCCACTAATCATTAATTCATAATTTGGTAGAATGAAATAAACCTATATTTTCCATTTTGGCAATTATTCTGTGATTTCTAAATTTCATCATCTGTGGCCACTAAAGCTGGTAATGTTATATCTTTAAGGAGAGACAGATTTCCTAACATGGCAATTTGTTTGCCGTGTTTTACTATTGTTATGCTTTTTTATAATTGAGAGAAACTCCATTGTGTATTGTAATGGATGGTTGTAAGCTAGAGATAAGATTATGTGTCTGGTGGTACTATTACTATCACTGAAAATCAGATACACTGATAATGACAGAGGTAGTACACAATGTATCTTTATTTTGTTTTTGTTTTCTGTTTTGCAGATTGCACTCCATCACATTGCCACTGTGGAGAAGTTACCCAGTACTAGCATGGGCTGTCCTCTGGTACTTCACTGTAAGAACTTCCGAGTAGCACACTTTGTTTTAGATTCTGACCCTGTGTGCCAGGAGGTTTATATTTCGCTACTCAAGCTTTCTCAACCAGGTAGTTATGACAGCATTTTAAAAGAATTTTTGTTGTTATTATAAAGGTAATACACAGAGGAGTTACAGTTACATAAATCAGATGACTACATTTCTTTTTGGACAATGTCAGCCCTTCCCTTGCTCTCTCCCAGTTTTCCCTCCCATCCCCACCCACAAGACATCATTTTTATCTAAAACCATTTTATTCCTTTTTCCCCCCAAAAGTTGTAATTGAAAGATTAGATTATAGGCTATAGAGTTAGAGTTTAAATCCAGGCTTTGCCACTTACCAGCTCCATGGGTTTGGGGCAAGTTACATAGCTTTTGAATTCAGCTTACTTGCTTGAAACAGTAGAGTAAGTAAGAGTTGTTTTTTGTTTTTGTTTTGTTTTGTTTTTGTTTGTTTTTTTGTCATGAGCCTTGAACTCTGGGCCTGGGCACTGTCCCTGAGCTCTTCAGTTCAAGGTGAGTGCTCTACCACTTGAGCCACCGCACCACTTCTGGTGGCTCATTGGAGATCAGAGTCTGATGGACTTTCCTATCCACGCTGACTTTGAACCACAAGATCTCAGCCTCCTGAGTAGCTAGGATTACAGGCGTGAGCCACTGGCGCCTGGCTAAGAGTTTTTGAGACTTACACATTCATGCAATTTACTATGTACTTAGTACATAGTAGATGTTTGAGATAACTTCCTTTTCGTGTTTCCCATGATCTGTAGGCTTTATATTTAGTCCACTGTTCCTATCCTTGCCTTCAGTTTCAGCTAGAACTTTATCAGAGTTTATCAGTTTATGAGTCATTAATGATATATTTATTCCTATTTCTTCTAGCCTCACTGTCTCATTCTAGCCTTTAATCCTAGACAATTGACTACCTCTTGCTTTTAGTCTTTGGGATTTCCATGTTCTTAAGTTTTCCCTCTTATTTTCTCCTCCTCTTTCCTCAGAATACTTCCTCAGTATTTGCTGATATTTTATTTTTATTTATTTATTTATTGTCAGTTGTGGGGCCTGAACTCTGGGCCTGGGTGCTGTCCCTCAGCTCATCAGCTCAAGGCGAGCACTCTACCATTTGAGCCACAGCACCACTTCTGGCTTTTTCTGTTTATGTGGTGCTGAGGAATTGAACCCAGGGCCTCATGCATGCAAGGCAAGCGCTCTACCACTGATCCACCTTCCCAGCCCCTTGCTGATATTTTATTGACAGAGTTACCTGACTCTGCACTTTATAAGGCTCTGATCAACTTCTGTTCATTTTGGGAGAAGTCATTGCCACATAAATTAGTCAAATAAGCATCAAATTAATGTTGCATCTTCTGAAGGGAGGAAGAAAGTCTTACAGGGAGAAGACAAATGGTTATCAGCCAGAAGCTAGTGTTGGCCTGACAAATAGAATGCAGTTGTTAATGTTGTGCAATATGTCACAATAACCAGAGCAATTGGGACATAAAGGCCAAGTTTAAAATTTTTGGTAAGGTCTATTTTCCTAACATGAAAGCTTCAGATCAAGTCAATTATTCGTCATTATTCTAAAAGAGAGCTTGGGAAAGTTTTTTAGTTGGTATAATATAAAAAATTAAAATATTTTAAAAGAAGAACCCCAAGCATTATTCCAGTTCTTATTCTTTATGTAAAAGCAGGCATGTACACAAAGCACTAACCTGTGGTGGGACTGTTTAACAAGCATTCCTTTTGGGATAAGGAAACCTTTGTTTGCTTTGTTTGGTAGTCTTTAAGTTCTACTTATCATTACTTTGTTTCTATGTATGTTCTCCAGTGTCACCTGAAGATCTTTATGCTTTTTCTTATAATCCCAAAACCTCAAAAGGGGCAAGGGAAAATGGATGGAAACTGATTGACCCAGTATCAGACTTTAAGCGAATGGGAATACCCAATAGGTACTGGACCATAACAGATGCCAACAAAAACTATGAGGTAATTTTCGGATGGCTTTTATTCTTTAGATACATTTAATTAAAATGACAGCATATCAGCAAATATGATCTGGGAAAAAGAAAAATCCCTCATAATTGTTGTTTTTCATTGGACATTCAGCCATTCAGCCATTCAGCAAGCATTTCTTTGGGTTCCTAATGTGCTCTCATGGTTTGAAGCATAGAATGCTGTGGGAGCCTAGATGGCAGCTGTGAAAATAAGCCTGGTAAGCTAGAGACAGTCTGATATTTTGAGGTGTTGCCTTGTGAAGACATATAGATATATATTTGTCAGACCTGGGGCTTAAAATCAGGGCCTAGGCACTGTCCCTGAGCTTCTTTAACTCAAGACTACCACTCTACCACTTGAGCCACACCTCTACTTCTGGCCTTTTCTGTTTATGTGGTACTGAGGAATCAAACCCAGGGCTTCATACATGCTAGGCAAGCACTCTACTACTAAGCCACATTCCCAGCCATGAAGATATTTTTAACATCCTAGTGCAACATAAAACTTCTTTTGTTGTTGTTGTTATTATTATTATTATACAATTTTACATTCCATAAGTCAGGTTTTGAGTATAATGCTTTTTAGTCAGTGTCACCATTTCCTTCATTCTCCATTTTCCTCCTCCTTTCAGTACCCTCAAGTTATGTGGTTCAATTTTTACATAATATACATTGGCTCTTGTGACTATATTTGCTCACCTTCCTCACTCCATTCCTTCTCCCCACCCCAAATATTTCCACTTCCTGATTCATTTTGAAAAACACTTGTGTTTCTCCCCTAAGGATACCATCCTTTAGTCAGTTTGTGTGTCAGTGCATTGAGCCTTGTATATGTTATCATGCATGTTTGAATTTTAGATCTAGCTGTTTGTCTGTTTTTGCTGTTTGTCTCTCTAAGCCTGGCTTGTTTCTCTTGGGAAGGAATTTTATCCTCATTTATGCAGAGGGAGATAGGAGTTAAGAAAATGAAGCCAAATCATGAAGGGTTTTATGGCCAAAATAAGAAATGGGAATCTGATCCTGAATTCAAAAGAGCGTTTGGGTCTAGATCTGAAGCAAGAACCATGGGCTGAATATGGAAATGCAGGATTATGATTAGGGTTTCCAAGATCATCTCTTAGGACCTGTGATTCATTAAGCATTCTCATAGGATTCTACATATAGTCAGACCAGTGACTATGATTTATTGCAGTGAAAGGATACAAAGAAAAAAAACAATTGTTCCGAGTATCAAATTAGGTCAACATATGTGAACTGTCTGCCAGGGAAGCTCATAGAGACTCAGTACCTAGGGTTTTTGTTTACTGCTGTTCATGTGGGCACTCTACCTTATATAATAGCAGAATTCCACATGCCCAGAGGGAAAACAAATGTCCAACATAAACCACATTCTTTGATCAAACAGTTATGGTGCAGTGGGGTCTACCTCCTGAAATCTGTGTTCCCAGGCATCTACCAAAGAAAGACCAGCTTTAAAAGTAGGCTTTTCTGCCGGGCGCCGGTGGCTCACGCCTGTAATCCTAGTTACTCAGGAGGCTGAGATCTGAGAATCACAGTTCAAAGCCAGCCCGGGCAGGAAAGACCATGAGACTCCTATCTCCAATAAACCACTAGAAAACTGGAAGTGGCACTGTAGCTCAAGTGGTAGAGCGCTCGCCTTGAGCTGAAGAGCTGAGGGACAGCGCCCAGGCCCAGAGTTCAAGCCCCATGACTGACAAAAAGTAGGCTTTTCATTGGGTGCTGGTGTCCCATGCCTAAAATCCTAACAGCTTAGGAGGCTGAGGTCTGAGGATTGAGATTAGAAGAGAGCGTAGGCAGAAAAGTCAGTGTGACTTATCTCCAGTTAACCATCAAAAAGCCAGAATTAGAGCTGTGGCTCAAGTGATATAGTACTACCTTGAGCACAGTACAGACCCTGAGTTCAAGTCCCAGTACCAGCACAAAAAAAAGAAGTAGGCTTTTCTAAAGATAGCAGTCAGGCCTATCTTGATAACTTTCTAGTTACTGTTATTTAAATTATATCCCTGAATTGTTAGATTAAAAAATTATTTGCAACTTATCATACATAGTAAGTCATTAATTGCAGTGCCTTTCTGGCAACACAGGTTTTGAATGGTCACTATGTATGAGGATTGATGAGCTGCCATTTAGAAAGACCATTTATGAGAGGGCTTGTTATGGTTATACTTGACAGTAATGTATAGAGATGGAGTGAGTTCTGTGCTCAGATATGTGTCTAAGTCTTCTTGAATGAGGTCTGAATTATCTGTGTTAACCCTTTGGATATGTATGCATTTCTGAGCACAAAGGGCAGCTGCATCTCTGTGTTATTTGTTTCTCCAGCGTCTAAAGTTCAGGTAAAAAGATTGTTGATGATTGTAGAACTTCTTTTTCAAATGATTTTTTCATTCTGGTGTCCTTGACTTTCATAATGAATTATATAGAATATTCTTCATCTGAAGTATCTTGAAATACTTTTTGGTGGTGCCACGGTTTGAACTTAGGGCCTTGTGTGTTTGCTGGTCTGGTGTTCTATCACTTGAACCATGCCTTCAGGCCTGATTTTTGTTTGTTATTTTGAAGATAGAGTCTAGAGAATTTTCCTGCTTAGCCTGGCCTCTGAGTAGCTAGGGTTACAGATGTGAGCCCCCAACACCTGGCTGAAATTCTTTCTGATATGTTGTCAAATGTTTGGGGTTATTCTTACGGGAATGATTACAGTTAACTTATGTCAAGTCTGTGATAAATTTGAGAAAATGTATCAGTCTTTTTTATAGACTATCACACCTAAAATGTCAACAATTTCACCTTCACGCTCAAGGCCTCTCAGGTATGTGTACTAGGAAACCATTGTGTAATTCATGAAAGAGTAAACCATATTTCCTTTTCCTTTTCCACCTTTATGCTTTACATTTTAGCCTATTCATTTAACTTATTCGTTTACTTTACCTGCTATTTGTTCTAGTAGGCAAATGCAAACATTTCAGCATTGGCTTGTATGTCTTTCTGCATATATACATGTATATGTTATTCTAAAGGTACAGTTTTTCTTGTATGTATCAATGCCTTCCTTTTGGGGAAATAATATACTTTGAAATGATTTTGTTTTATTTTATTCTACTATTTCATTATTATTTCATTTCCTTATTTTTTTATTTTGGGGAACCTTTGTACTAATGATATTTTCTTTTTGCACTGGTTCTGGGCTTGAACTTAGGGCCTGGGCAACTGTCCCTGAACTTTTTTTTGGGGGGGGGTCCGGTAGTGGGGCTTGAACTCTGGGCCTGGGTGCTGTCCCTCAGCTCTTCAGCTCAAGGCTAGCACTCTACCACTTGAGCCACAGCGCCACTTCCGGCTTTTTTCTTTTTGCTTATGTGGTGCTGAGGAATCAAGGCCAGGGCCTCGAGCATGCAAGGCAAGCACTCTACCACTGAGCCACCTTCCCAGCCCCTGAACTTTTTTTTTTTAGGCTCATGCTCTACTATTGAGCCATAGCTCCATTTCTGGCTTTTTACTGGTTAATTTGAGATAAGAGTCTCATGGACTTTCCTGCCCAGGCTAGTTTTGAACCATGATCCTCAGATCTCAGCCTCATGAGTACCGGGATTACAGGCATGAGCCACCAGTGCCCAATACCAACAATATTTTTGTTCCTATTTCTGAGGAATGGATGATACTGGATGATAAATACCAGCCAACTAGTTGATGTTTCAGCAATTACTAATCCTAGTCTGTTGGTAGCAAGTAATAAACTGTAAAATAAGTTTTTCTTTTCTTTTAGATATGTAGTACCTACCCTCCTGATTTAGTGATTCCTACATCTATTTCTGTGGACACAGTGATTGCAAGTTCAAGGTTTCGAAGCAGAGAACGTGTTCCTGTGCTCTCCTACTTCTGCAAAGAAAACAATGTGAGTTAAGTAGACTTCTCTAATAATTCACCTTGACTTTAGAAGACCTGGTCTTAAGTCTTACCCTGACAACATAGCTGTGTGACCTAATCAAATCATGTAACTTCCCTGGGCTTAAGTACCTCAAAAAGAGCTTTTGAGGGGTTTACATGAGAGGGAAATATATGCGTACTTTTATAAACTGTAAAATATTATACATGTTAGGTAATATGTTAGTTTGTTCTTTTTTATCTAAGTTCCAATATGGTGGGAAGTTGCAGAATGAAAAGGAGTTGCATGAGAGTATACTTGGGGACTCTGACCTCACACTAGAATACAGATATCCCTGGTTCTTTCTTATTGATTGTGTGTGTGCATGTACGCGTGTGCACACATGCACACACCCACATGCATATACATATAATAAGGTAATAAGAAGGAAAGACCTATTTGGCTTCCTTTAACTAAGAAGTGGTAATAATTTTCACTTCTTATGATCATACTGAGCTTTGTGGCTAGATAGTTTTCAAGTCCTCAAATTAAATATTCCAATGCTAAAGAATATATAATGCAGCCGGGTGCTGGTGGCTTATAACCTGTAATCCTAGCTACTCAGGAGGCTGAGATCTAAGGATCGAGGTTCAAAGCCAGCCCAGGCAGGAAAGTCCGTGAGACTCTTTATCTCCAATAAAACCACCAGAAAACCCAAAGTGGAGCTGTGGCTCAAAGTGGTAGAGTGCTAGCCTTGAGCAGAAAAGCTCAGGAACAGTGCTCAGACCCTGAGTTCAAACCCCACTACCAACTAGAAAAGAGAATATATAACGTAAGTTGGTGTCTGTATCAAACTAAGTGCACAAACTCCTTTAAAATACATCAAAGTATAATGAAGCTCATTAACTATGCAGTCTTCATGTTGAAATGGCCTGAAACATACCAGCTCTCTGAGTTGGCAGTGACTCCTGAAAGTAGTAAACACTGTACTCGAAATCTCTAGATCATTACTGTGTCTTGAATTCTGCCACTGAAAGACTGTTTTATATGAATCTATTATGGAGACTGTAAAAAATGGGATAGTTTCGGAAAAACAATGAGACCATTATGTATCAAGAATAGATTATTAAACACGCAAGAAGGGGAAACAAAGGAGGAGGCTACAATGCTTTATAAGAAATGTACTCATTATCTTGTCCATGTAATTGTAACCCCTCTGTACAGTATTTTCACAATAAAAAAAATTCTGATAAAAGATGTGATTTCTTTGTGGTCTGCCTTGCCAGGGCTGGTTTAAGAACTGGCCCTATATCCAAGGGGAGCAAGAGACAAGAGGCTGATCCCAATGTCAGTGGAATGGCCTGCTTTAGAGCCACATCTCTCTGCTTTGCAAACTGTTGTGAATTGGCACATCCTTTTCCCTCTGCTCACCAAGGAAGATTTTGACCACCTGTGGACTTTATGGATCAATTGACACATTTTTTTTTCCTTGTAGGCTACCATTTGCCGCTGTAGCCAACCTCTCTGTGGATTTTATGCTCGCTGCATTGATGATGAACTCATGCTAGATGCCATTAGCCGAGCAAATCCTGGAAGCCAGTTTATGTATGTTGTAGACACTAGACCAAAGGTAGCTATCAGTAACTTCTTTAATATCACTACCTCTTGCATTCCTCCTCTGTGCTTGCTGAGACTTGTAGTGTTATTGGGAAAGTTAAGTTTGAGTATGTGGGTTCATTATCTCAGACATGTGAAATCACTTGAGCAAGCCACTTGGTATACCTTTTTAAATTTTGTATTTGTGTTTTTAAATATAATTTTATTGTGATTAAGGTATTGTACAGAGGAGTTACCCTCTCTCTTTATGGAGGGGTTACTAAGTCAGCTAATAAATAACATTTCTTTTTTAGAGAATGTCACCCCTTTCGTTTCTTTCCTCTAGCTTTCCCCTTCCATTCCTACCCACATGTTACATAGTTTATTTTTCACATAATGTATTGAATTGTATGATTGCTTTTGTTCACCCTTCCTCCCTGTGCTCCCCCATTACCCTCCTATAAGAGGGGAAAAAAGCAAAAACAAGCACCGCCAATAACAATAATAACAAAAAAACTTCATGTTTCCATTTCTTGGAATTCATTTTGATAAATAATATTTTAAATGTTCATAGGAGAGCCAGGCATCAGTGGCTCATGCTATATAATCCTAGCTACTTAGGAGGCTGAGATGTGAGGATCACATTTCAAAGCCAGCCCAGGTAGAAAAGTCCCCATGAGATTCTTATCTCCAGTTAACCACTCAAAAAAACCAGAAGTGGAGCTATGGCTCAAAGTGGTAGGGTGCTAGTGTTGAGCCAAAGAGCTTAGGCACAGTGCTTAGGCACTGAGTTCAAGTCCCACAACCAACCAAAAAAAATGTTCAGAGGAGTTACACCTTTGTGTTCCTCCAGTAAGGATATTCTTTAGTCTGTTTGTGTGTGAATGCCTACAAGTCAGCATATGGTAAAGATACTTGTACAGGTAATCATGTCCAGTTATATTTTAGAGCTAGCTTCCACATATGAGAGGAAACATACACCATTTGTCTCTGAACTTAGCTTACCTCACTTAAAATGATTTGTTTAGGACCATCCATTTCCCTCAAATGGCATAGCCTTATTATTTCTAATGGATGAGTAATATTCCATTGTATATAAGTACCACATTTTATTGATTCTCATCTATTGTAAGGCATCTGGGATGTTTCTATAACTTGGCTATAGTGAATAGTGCAGCAATGGACATGGATGTACAAGTATCTTTACCATATGCTGACTTGTAGTATTCTGGGTAGATTTGGTACACCTTTTTTTTTTGGTTGTGGAGCCTGAACTCTGGGCCTGGGCACTGTCCCTCAGCTCTTCAGCTCAAGGCTAGCACTCTACTGCTTGAGCCTCAGCCCCACTTCTGGCTTTTTCTGCTTATATGGTGCTAAGGAATTGAACCCAGGGCCTCATGCATGCAAGTCAAGCACTCTCCACTGAGCCACCTTCCTAGCCCCTTGGTACACCTTTTGTAAGTCCCTTGCTGTCAAATTAGGCTGGGAGATGGTATATTGAGCAGCCTGTCTTTGCCACATGAATGTGTGCCGCGGACCGGCTCTGTCAGGACGAAGGAGGATAACTAGTGGAGGAACTGGAATAGGTGGGGAGATGGCAAACAGACAACTCACACACAAGAGGAGTGGATGCTGAGTGCGATTTAATGCAGAGGATAACAAACTTTTATAGCAAAAAGTCTCCATAAGAAAGGGCAAAAGGTTACACAATCTTGCTGCAGGCTTCATTCTTGGGTGGTCACCAGCTGGTCGCCTGATAGGCACTTGTTTCCGGCTTATCTCTAAGAAATACAATGGGTTTCGATGTTTGTCACCAATTAACCATTACCTTTTTTTATAGAGGCCTTAACTGTCCCATAAGATCTTTCCTGTTCCTTTTTTAATAGTAAACACCAAGGAGACCTAGATCTAGCAAGTCTCTTAGTAAATGAAAGAGAGTAGCAGGAAGTTCTTTCTCCTAAATAGTTATCTCAGCAATTGCCATACATTCTTTCTGTTCTAGCCGCGCCTACAGCTTCTTGCACCTCTCTTACAAACAATTCCTTCTGCTGAAGTGACTTCGTGAAACCCCCAATACTTTTATATTTACTTATGACTTGTCTACTAGCCTCCATAAGAGGGGTTTCAGGGTAGCACTTAACTCTGGTGAGTTAGTCATATTTTTAAGACACTCATCAGATATTGGAGTCGTCAACACTCTTAAGAAAGATCTTTGAATAAGGGAACGTTGACAATGAGTAAGTACAATGAACAGCAGAAACAGTAAAAGATTAATAGGCACTCTTATACAGTGAGGAAAAGAAAAGCAAGAACAGAAACACATCTTTCCCAGGGGCATGCCAGCCTTTCCAGGAGTAGGCCTCTTAGAAGCCCTATTCTCCGAGGTAGACTTCGGTGAAGTCCCAATACTCAGAGATAGGTCTCTGAAGCCCCATTCTCAGGTCTGAAAGCTGGTTTCCCATGCTAAGCAGACTCCACTAGAGTAGGCGTGGCAAATGTGATCCCAAGTTATAGGCTCATTGATATATTTTTCACTAAATCTATTTCTTAAGCAAGATTTTCAGTAGTTCCCTGTTGTAGTCTCTAAATTTACTATAAAACAAGAACCTCAATTTAGACCCTGGAAATTTAACACCACTATGTAACCTTCTATGAATAATACTGTGTGTGTGTGTGTGTGTGTGTGTGTGTGTGTGTCCTACCTTCTATGAATAATACTGTGTGTGTGTGTGTGTGTGTGTATGTGTGTGTGTGTGTGTCCTGAGGCTTCAACTTAGAACCTGGACACTATTGGTGAGCTTTTATGCTCATGGCTATACTCTACCACTTGAGCCACAGCTCCATTTTTGGCTTTTTGGTGTTTAATTGGAGATAAGGGTCTTACAGACTTCCCTGCCTGGACTGGCTTTGAACCATGATCTCAGATCTCAGCCTCCTAAACAGCTAGGAATATAGGTATGAGATACTGGCTGTATATAAGGTTTTAAACCATAGTTGGTTAACTCTTGTCTTGAGAAACAAAATTCAATAATCTGACTGCTACATGATTAACCAAAAAAAAAAAGCCCCAAAACAAAACTGGTAATAGTAATGCGTTAATAGCCAGCACTATTAGCTGTGAAAATTTTTCCTAATTCAGGGAAATACAACTTGTATCTTGATCCCAGAGAATAAGAAAAGACCAGGGACATAAATTTTCCCTGGAATTCAGCAGTGGACAAGTGGACATGAACTTAAATCCTTTGACATTCCTAAGAACCTGATGCTATTTGGAATTGGTTTATCTGTGATTTTTACAATGTGTGTTCTCAGACTTTGTCCCTTTCAAATCCTAATGTCATTGAAGATGAAGCCCTTAGATCAATCTACATATGAGCTTAAACTTTGCATTAATGGCTTGACCTTTACTTTTTTTGGTTTGTTTGCTTTTGTTTTGTCTGTCATGGGTCTTGAACTCTAGGCCTGGGCACTGTCCCTCAGCTCTTCAGCTTAAGACAAGCGTTTTACCACTTGAACCACAGTGCCACTTTCAGTTTTCTGGTCGTTTATTGGAGATAAGAGTCTCACAGACTTTCCTGCCCAGGCTGGCTTTGAACTGTGATCCTCAGATCTCAGCCTCCTGAATAGCTAGTTTTACAGGTGTGAGCCACTGGCACCCAGTGACCTTTAATACTTTGTCTAGTGCTATAAAAGATATAGAAGAATTCACTGTGACTTGTAAAGTTAGAAAGGACAGATTTTTTTTATTAAATGTCATTTTTATAAAACCAAAGAAAAAAAATATCATTTTTACAAAAGGCATCAGAAATAACTTGATGTGTTAACTGTGATTGCTCAATCATTGATATATAACTAAGCCTATGCCTGTGGTTGTGCTTCAGAATTGAGCAATTAGGTATGTGTGAAACTGGCTTGTAGCCTTAGATAGCTGTCTTGCTCCTTTTTTTTCTTTTTCTTATCCGTCATGGGGCTTGAACTCGGCCTGGGCACTGTCCCTCAGCTCTTCAGTTCAAGACTAGTGCTCTACCACGTGAGCCACAGGGCCACTTCTGCTTTTCTGAGTGGTTTATTCGAGATAAGAGTCTCACAGCCTTTCTGCCTGGGCTGGCTTTGAACCAGGATCCTCAGATCTTAGCCTTCTGAATAGCTAGGATTACAGGCGTGAGCCACCAGCACCCTGCTCCTTTTTTTTTTTTGGTTATTCATAGGGCTTGAACACAGGTTTGAGCACTGTCCCTGAGTTCTTTTACTCAAGGCTAGTGCTCTATCACTTCAAGCCACAGTCCCACTTCTGGTTTTTGAGTTGTTAATTAGAGATAAGTCTCTTGGGGACTTTTCTTCCCCAGCCAGCTCTGAATCATGATCTTCAGATCTCAGCCTCCTGAGTAGCTAGGATTACAGGATTGAGCCACTAGTGCCCAGCCTCTGCTCCTTTTTGTGGTCTCTCACCAAAACTGCCCAGGACTTAGTGGGCCCAACAAAGAAAATTATTTCCATTTTTGCTCAGGCACTATTCTTCTGTTTCTCCGAAGTTTGCTAACTTGCTTCAGCCATAACTATGTCTGACATTCTGAGTTTGGATAGAGTTTAATTAAGATTGTATTTTCTTTTTTCAATAATTGGGATTGAATTCAAAACACTCGACCACTTGACTCATGCCTTCAGCCCTTTTTACTTTATTTTTCAGATAAGGTGGTCTTATGAATTTTTGCCCAGACCAGACTGTGATTCTTCATTCTCTGTCTCTCAACTGAGATTATAGGCATAAGTCATCATACCTAACAAGTCTGTATTATTAAGATTAAATTACCTTAAAATATCAAGAGAAACCTTCCTACACTTATGAAAAACTAAAGATGTACTCCCTTTTGAAAAACTAGAGTGGGTTTGTTCATATCCAATGCTAGGAACACACTTTTAACAGATCCCGTATTCCCCTCCCAGTTTCAACAAATAAAGATAATGAAGTTATATGCACATACAAATATAGTCTGTGTGTGAAATATGTATGTGTGGTGATACTGGGGATCACATACATATGTGTATGTATTATGATACTTGGAATATAACCAAGGGTTTTGACATACTAGGCAAGCTCTCTACCATTTGGCTACATCCCCAGTAAATTATGACAGAATTAAAAATGAACAAGAACCTCATTCTTCTGGATAGCTAGATCTATACTGTTAGTATAAACTATATTGTATTGACAGAATTTGTCCTTATGAATCAGACAAACCTAAGGTCAAACTGTCCCTTAAGCCATTATCCTTATTTTTTTTTTGATTGTGGGGCTTGAACTCTGGGCCTAGGTGCTGTCCCTGAGCTCTTCAGCTCAAGGCAAGCACTCTACCACTTGAGCCACAGTGCCACTTCAGGTTTTTTGGTGGCTAATTGGAGACAAGAGTTTCATAGGGACTTTCCTGCCCAGGCTGGCTTTGATACACAATTCTCAGATCTCAGCTTCCTGAGTAGCTAGGATTACAGGCATGAGCCACCAGCACCCTGCTGCGATTATCCTTATCTTAGTGACTTTATTTACTTGTCTGAACTTCTTTTTTTGGGGGGGGGTCCGGTCGTGGGGCCTGAACTCTGGGCCTGGGCGCTGTCCCTCAGCTCTTCAGCTCAAGGCTAGCACTCTACCACTTGAGCCACAGTGCCACTTCCGGCTTTTTTCTTTTTGCTTATGTGGTGCTGAGGAATCGAACCCAGGGCCTCAGGCATACAAGGCAAGCATTCTACCACTGAGCCATCTTCCCAGCCCCTGAACTTATTTTCTTATGAGGATAATATTAATACCTACTGTGAGGGGTCTAGAGTGAAAATTAAATGAGATAATTTATATAAACAATCTAGCCCAGTGTCTAGAACATTTCAGGAGCTCAGTAAATATGGCATCTCTTCACCTAAATTTTAACGTACAGCTGTGCTCCAAATCTGCAAGACAAAATTTCAGAGTATGTACTGGCACAGTGTTGTTCTCTCTCTCTCTACATTAGCCTAACCCATACCTGGATAGAGACTGATGTAACTACTGTTTTTGTTTGGTGAAGCAACACTCTTAGCAAACTTCCTTATTACTATCTTGCTGTTGTTTATGATTTTACATGGGTTCCTTTGACATTGATTATTAATTAAAGGTCAATGTCATTGTCAGTGTGATAAAAGATCAATATTGCTGTCACATTTCTTTCTTTACTGTTTTGGCATTTTTCTCTTTATATGTGTAATTTGATAACATGTACCTTGGTGTTTTTATGTTTCTTTCCAATAACATGAAAGCTATACCCTGTTCACATACATCTTCTTTCTGCCTTCTGAAATGTATAATACTCAGGGATGAGGAAACTTGCCCAGACAAAATAAAATCACTCAGTAATAGGATCATCATCATAGAAGGTTATCTTTTCCATGATTTTATTAATGTTTCCTTTCTGGAAATCATATTTATTCCTACCCTGCCCAGTATTCTTTATATGACATAGAGATTTGGTGGCCACCACAAACAGAACATAGTGTTAAAACAGCTTTTGGAGCCAGGCATTGGTTGCTAACACCTATAATCCTAGCTACTCAGGAGGATAAGGTGTAAGAATCAAGATTCAAAGCCAGTCCAGGAAGCAAAGTCCCTGAGACTCTTTATCTCCAATTATCTTCAATTTGGTAGAGCAATCAGTCTTGAGCAAAAAACTAAAGGACAGTGCCCAGGCCCTGTATTCGTTATTGGCCCCCAAACAAACAAACAAAAAACTTATGATGTCTCTATTTTATTTTTATTAGCAAGAAAAGGTTATTTATATATAGAAGTCATTTTAGATATTTTAATTTTTAGACATCTGTGTAGAGTTCCCAGTTGTGAAACTTTATAACTTTTGCATGTTTCTTAGTATCCTTGTTCACTGAAACCAGGCACTGGTAGCTCACACATCTAATCCTAGCTACTCTGGAGGCTGAGATTGAAGATAACAATTTGAAGACAGCCCAGACAGAAAAGACTGCAAAACTCTTGTCTTCCATTAACCAGTACAAAATCTGGATTGGAGGTTGTATCTCAAGCAATAGCATGCAAATCAGGAGCCAAAAAAGCTGAGCAAGAGGGCTGGGAATGTGGCTTAGTGGTAGAGTGCTTGCCTAGCATGCTTGAAGCTCTGGGTTTGATTCCTCAGCACCATATAAACAGAAAAGGCCAAAATTAGTGCTGTGGCTCAAGTGGTAGAGCCACTTGAGCACAGAGAGGCTCAGGGATAGAGCCCAGACCCTGAGTTCAAGCCCCACGACTGCCCCTCCCCCCCAAAAGCTGAGCAAGAGGATGAGGCTGAGTTCAAGCCCCAGTATCAACCTCAGAAAAAAAGTTGCTCCACTGAGAAAACACTTGTGATAGGCAGCTTAAATTATTATTCCACTTGAGATTAGATGTCTTCATAACTGCCATATACTTCATCTCTGAAGCTGGATATTAGTAATAAAAATATCAGTCTCCTTTTTCCTTTTATCAGTCTTTTTACTTGAGGTACCTAATGTAATAACCAATGAAATCCTTTCATTCAAGAATGAACCCTGTATGCTTCAACTTCTTTTTAAATGAATAGAATTTTTAACTGTTTAGAATGAAGCCCTGAGGTTGATTGACCCTGTTCTTTCATCATCTGGCCTATTTGCCCTGATTATGATCTCCACTATTACAGCTCAATGCCATGGCCAACCGAGCAGCTGGGAAGGGATATGAAAATGAACTTAACTATATCAACATTCGCTTCAGGTTCTTGGGCATTGAGAACATCCATGTGATGCGGACCAGCCTACAGAAACTCTTGGAAGGTACAGGGGTTTCATCTTGGCTAAGTCAGAGACCATAATATTGCATTAAGCAGAAATCATGCCTGATTTGGGGTGGAACAAAAAAGCCAGCAGATGAGCAGATTCAATCAATAATCAGGTGTTTAACTGTAGTATGAACCTAGCTTACATACTACAGAATTATAGCAGTGTTGGTCTGGCAGAGGGACCAAGACATTTTATTTCCATAACTTGGTAAAGTACATATGAGTCTAATTCTTGGGGAAACAATTTCTCTTTATAGAATTATAGTCAAATATTCAGAGTGGGTAGACCAGTATAAGTGTTAATGAATTGGGGATTGAATTCATCATCCTTAAGGTAAGAAATCACCTTGTATAATCAGCTATAAGAAGTCAGTCTAATGTCACTGTGCTGGGGTCAGAATGGGAACAAGATGTATGGAACCTATAGGACTCTTGGATTTAGAACATTATTCTCAAACCACTTCCCAAGATTCTTTGATGTAGTATGCCAACTCAGGAAAAGATAGTGAAAACTTACCTTATTTATTAGTAAGCTCTTTCTGTCTTTTCTTCATTTTTATACAGGCATAATCTACAAGGTACTCTCCCCTAGATAGCCCTTGTCAGATTTTGTCTCTTCAATCTGAATCCCTTTTTAGGATATTGAGTGTGCCTTTTCCTTGAGTCTCTCCTCACTTTCTTTTGGCCTTAAAATATTCTGTAAGAGGAGACTTTGTTTTACTAAATTTTTTGAGGCAAAATATTGCCCTCTGCTGGATGACTGAAAGAAAGTACATGAAAATTGACATTTCTTTTCAAACCTAACAGAGCCATAGGGCATAATAAGTAGAGCTATAGGAGTAGAGACAGATGTTAGGGGCCTGCAGAATTAGAATGTGTGGGTGGGATGAGTGTGGGATCAAATATGTTTTCTAATCTAGGAGTTATGAGCATTTTTCTGTAGGTGTTGACTTAGTTTTCAAAGCATAGGCCCACAATGCAAAGTGTGCCTTTGTCCTATGTTTGACCCATCGTATGGTTTCTACCTAATCATTTAATGTTTCTCTACCTCCACTTCCTCATTTACAAAGTGAGGATCATTTTCTTACCCTTCTTGATAAATGAACTGAGGTACTTGTCAATTTCAATCTCTGCTTCCTTTTCTGCTTTAGTTTGTGAATTGAAAAACCCAACAATGAGTGAATTTCTTGTTGGCCTGGACAGCTCAGGGTGGTTGAGACACATTAAAAGTATTATGGAAGCTGGAATTTTCATTACAAAGGTAATAATCAGGACTTTTAAGAATTTGCACTAACTTTAATTATGGGATCTCTTAGTAATAATGTATCACAGTGGAAAGAATATTAAAGAGAAACAGGTTTTTCCCCATTCACTTCTGCAACTAATTACTGTGTGCCCTTAGACAAGTCAGTTTTTCTGTCTGTAAAATAAAGTGGCTAGGCTAGAATCTACTATAACTTCTGAGGAACCCACAGAACTCTTTGTGAATATGATTATTCCTCTCCCCCTTGGAAAATGCATATGTGATTATAAAGAAAATGGACCTCAATTTCAGGGGCACCATAAACCCTGGACCTCAGTTTTAAAACCCTTAGGTGGTCTTTAATGGTTATTCTAGATCAATTACTCCGACTTTTTTGTGTTAATTCTAAGGTATCAAATGAAAGTAAAAGTGGATGTAAAATATATATCCTCTGTATCCTTTATTTGAATTGTTTTTGCCAATAGGACTTGAATTCAGAGTGTTGTCCTTTACTTTTTTGCTCAAAGCAAGTGATCTACCTCGAGCCACACCTTCACTTCCAGCATTTTGATGCTTAATTGGAGATGAGTCTTGCTGATTTTTCTTGTTGGGCTGGCTTTGAACCCTGATTCTCAAATCTCAGCTTTCTGATTAGTTAGGATTACGGGTACGAGCCACCAACAACCCAGCTTATTATGTGATTTTTTTTTTAAAAAGGAAAGTTAGAATATACATTTTCTCATTTTGAAGCTTTGTTTTTATGTATTCCTACATGAGAACTTTCACTCACCCTTATTATTTGACAGAAGTAAAGGAAAGAATGACTTTTTAGCCCCTATGCTATTTTCTTACTTAATAGCAATAACTTCTGGCTTAAAAGGTTTGAAAGGAGTATGTGTAATTTATTGTTTTAAATATTCAACTTTATTTCCTTATGCTTTATGCTTTTCCTAGTCCTGTTGCTTATACTTTTAATTGCAATGTGATATTGCTATGTGACTTTGTTGGTTGTTTTAGGCCTTTTTTCATAACTCTTGCATACTGTTCTTTTTATTATATTCTGTACCCATATATCGTACCTCCTCTCTGAAGCTAAATTTATTAGACCAAAGACAATGAGCATGGAGAAGAGGGCAGTTTCATAGTGCAAACTCATATGAGTGTACCAAAACTGAAACCCCATTCCATCACCACATATCTAGTATCCCAAGCTGAAATACCCTCAGTCAGCCTTAAAATTTCCCTCTTCTCCAACTGGCAATTTCCAAGCCCTATCAGTTCTCCTTCAAAAAATGTGCCTTAAATCTATCTTTTCTTCCTAGTTTCTGCTGCTCCTTACCTAAGGTCTAAGTACTCTAATAACCCCCTATCTTCTTGTGTCCCCAGGTGAATGCTCCTCAGTTAAGTGACTTGCTTGAAAAGTCATTTTTCTTTCTTTTTTTGCAAGAGGCAGAAGTACTGGGTTTAAATTCAGAGCCTCACACTTGCTAGGATGATGCTCTGCTACTTGAGTTATGCCTCCAGCCCTGCTTTTTGCTGGTTATTTTGGAGATGGAGTCTTGTGAAGTTTTCTGCCTGGGTTGCCTTTGAATGGTGATGGTTCTTCAGATCTTAGCCTATTGAGGAGCTAGGATTCCATCCATAAGCCACTAATACTTGGCTTCATTAATGTGTTGTGCCATTACTTTAAGCTAAACATCTTTCAGTGATTCCCTTTTTTCTTGCCCATAAAACTCTGCACCTTTGGATATTCATAGTCTAAACCTAATAGCTAGAGAGGACCTCTTGCTACTCTCTAACACAATGCTTCTTTTACTCTTTTTAAAAAATTTTATTTTTTCTCATTATAAAAGCAACACATGCATATTCTAAAAAACATTTCAGAAAAATAAAACATAAAATTTAAACAAAGCACACATTATGCTTCATCTTCATGCTTGATCAGAACTGTCCATGTTTGAACTTTCTGTGATGATACATATGTTCTGTATCTGTACTAATAGCTACTATCCATGTGTGACAGTTTTGGGCACCTGAAATGTGGCTAGTAAGACTGAAGTTTAAATAGCTATAGGTGGCTAATGACTTCATATTCGGTAGTACAGCTCTAGAGTTTTTCAACTCTTATACTTCATTGTACAAGTACTTTGTAAAAATTGTGTACTATGGAAACTCTTCTGCAACTGACTTATTTATACTATATGTATAATTAATAGTTTTCACATCACTTGAGTCAGTAGTACCTTATTTTTTTCAGTGTCTATATAATATTCCATTGTGTGAATTCACCATAGTCTCTGTTGGTAGAAAATTCAGTTTGTCCCAGTTTTTTTAAACTAATAAGAATTGCTCTGTGTGTGTGTGCATGTGTGTGCGTGCATGAGTGCATGTGTGTGTGTGTGTGTGTGTGTGTGTGTGTGTGTGTGTGTGTGTGTGCGCGCGCACGTGTACTGGTCAGACACTGGTGGCTGTAATCCTGGCTATAATCCTAGCTACTCAAGAGGCTGAGCTCTGAGGGTTGTGGTTTAAAGCCAGCTTGAGCAGACAAATCCAAGAGATTTGCTCCAGTTAAAAAGCAAAAAGCCAAATGAGAGCACTCAGACACCGAGTTCAAGCACAAGCAAAAAAAGTACATGTATATCTGTAGGTATTCCTAAAAATGGACTTTCCAAGTCAAAGAGTGCAGGTATTTCAAATTTTAATGATGATGCCAAATTGCCTTATAAACAGTAATAGTTTTGATGGCCCCCCTAACCATGCCTATTTTTCCACATTGCTGGCAATGGATATCATCAGTCTTTTAAATATTTGTCATTGTTATTAGTGATAATTTTATATACCTTGTTTTTAATTTATGCTTCTTTTTCATAATGAAAATGAGCATCTCTTTTTATTCACTTTTCACTTTCCATCCATTTGGATTTCTGAAAAGTACAGTTGCTGTCAGGCTATTGCTGAACTGAAGAATTCAAAATGTTGAAAACTCATTTCCTAGATTTCTTTAACTCCTTTCTTATCTGTAACCTAACTACCCTCTAGGATGACCATTTTTCTTTCTTTTTTTACTTTCCTGCCTAGGCTGTGTTTTTTGTATATTTTTTATTGTAAAAATACTTTACAGAGGGGTTACAGTTACATGAGTAAGATAATGAGTACATTTCCTATCGAGTGTTGTTACCTCCTCCTTTGTTTTTTCCCTACCATCCCTTCCCTCCCCACCTCCCCAACTTCTCCCTCCCCACCCTCAGAAGTTGTAAAGTTCATTTTTAACTTAGTGTTTTGTACATCTCATTGTTACAATGGGGGATGACCATTTTTCTTGCGTTGCTACTACTAAGAGCATCAGGACCTAGTGCAGGTTCAGTATTCTTGCTCTGGCCAAAACTTTTTCCTCTCTTCAGGTCTGTGCACCCTTCCTGGTTGCTCTCCCTCCTCCATTACTTTGAGGTTGGCTCTACCTCCTTCTTCTCCATGCTGATTCTTCCCTTTAGCCCACAAGCTTGGAAGGACCATGTCTAGCTTGTTGAGTGAGAAGTGCTTGAAGCTTGGAGGTTTTATATTCCAGCCCTTAGATCCTTACTCCAGAAAGCAGAGTTGTATAATCCCCAGGAAATCTCTACACTTTCAACTAATCTTGTAGTAACTTGTACCTTCCATCTTGAGCTTTACCCTTCCACTCTACCTACCCTGCTAAACAGAGTTATTTTCTTTTATGAAATTAATATACATTAGCCAGGTGTCTGTGGTAGCAACATTAACCAGGTATTGGTGGCTAATGATTATAATTCTAGCTATTCAAGAAGCTGAGATCTGAGTATCAAGGTTCAGACCAAGCTGGTATAGGAAAGTCCTTGAGAAGCTCTTATCTCCAATTAACTACAAAAAAAATGGTGCTGTGGCTCAAAGTGTTTGAACACTAGCCTTGAGCACAAAAGCTCAAGGACAGTGCCCAGACCCTGAGTTGAAACACACACACACATATACACACACACACACACACACACACACTAGCATACATCAGCCAGGTGATGTTGCTCACACTTGTGATCCTAGCTACTCAAGAGGTTGATTGATATTTGAGGATCAAGGTTCAAAGCCAGCCTAGACATAAAAGTCTATGAAACTCTTATGTCCATTTAACCATGAAAAAGCCTTAAGTGGCACTGTGGCTCAAGTAGTAAAGTGCTAGCTGTGCACAAAAGAACCAAGTGATAGAAACCAAGCCCTAAGTTCAAGTCCCAGTACTAGCAAACACACACACACACAAATTAGCATACATTAGTTGAGCAAGATGGTTTCATTGTGATGTTTTCATACACACCTACAATATAGTCTTATGAAATACCTCCTCTAATATTCTTCCTTACCCTGTTCCCTTCATTGTTCTGTTGTCATACATGCAAACCAAACTACCCACTCTCTTCATCCTCATTGACCCTTTTGCCTTCCCTCTTTCCTCTGATACTCATACCCCTATCCCAGAGCCATTTATTGCTCCTGTATCCTGATTAATGAGCATTTCTGTACAGAAATAAATCTACATTCACATTAATTGGTTCTGTAATAAGATTATGGTCTCCAATCATAGCTGAAGTCTTGGGACCACTTAGCAGTTATTTGGCATGCCCCTGGTTGGGTTTCAGTCGTGTGCCACCAAGTAGGTATTCCTAATCTGTACTGTGCTTTCAAGCTGGCTACCTACTGTTGGTTCGCCCTTCTGTGAGCATATATTCATACTTGTCTCCTGTGTCATGGAAAATCAAGGTGATATCTTATCTGCCCACTGTTTCTGTTTGTTTTGTTTTGTCAGTCATGGGGCCAGAACTCTGGGCCTAGGCACTGTCCCTCAGCTCTTCAGCTCAACGCTAGTGCTCTACCACTTGAGCCACAGCACAACTTCTGGCTTTTTCTGCTTATCTGGTGCTGAGGAATCAAACCCAGGGCTTCATGCATACCAAGTGGTTTTAAACTCAAGGCCTCATGCTTGCTGGAAATTAACTATTTGAGCCACACTTCTA